CCCAGCTCACTGTAAAACAGAATGAAAAAAAAAAAAAAATATCCAACATATCGTATAGTTCCCTTTGTTCGAGTAAATTTACGAATTTGTTTTCTACGAAGGCTCTTGGCGTGGTCGAGATTCTTGATGGCATCAAAAGCACCGATGCGGCATTTTTATTTTTTTAAAGATTATGGCTCTATTTCAACCTTATATGTATATTTTGGCGCATTTTCCAGAATTTTAAGCATCTGCGCAAACATTGCGCCAAAAGTTAATTCCCCTCTCTCAAAAATCAAATTCATAACTTAAAAGACGCTACAACTAATGATTACTAGAGTTTATTACAATTGATTCTGCCTGTGATGGCATGACCCTATGAATAAATTCATAAAATGAAAAGATAAACATTTTTATTTACCACAACCAGACTTGTACGTAATCCGTTACAAGTAACGAAATTACTTGTAATCCCTTACAGTTATCAGTAATTTAGTAACGGAATAATTACATATTTTCTTGAGTAATTTTAAAGTAATTCCCTTACATTTTTAACGTAACGGATTCCTTGTAATTCGTTACATTTTTTTTTCAGAACAAACCGCCCCCCCCCCCCCTTTCTAAATATAGATTTTTTTTTTTTTGGTAAAGTTGAGCCAAGTGACACTGTCACGCAAATCGACCAGCGCAAAGGGGGGCTTGGCACCCTCCAGTTCCGCAAAGCCTTTTTTGCAACACCAAGGCCCTGATTTTTTTTAGACCCTAACAATAATAAAAAAAAAAAAATATATTTCAACAAAAAAAAAAGGGGGGGGGCAAGTTATATCCGCTTTTTTAGTCCCATTGGGGCGGGGAGAGGAGGACACCAAGTGATTGTGCGCCTGTTCGAGAAGCTCGAGGCGGCAAGTGCACTGAAAAGAATTAACAATGTGCTTTTCGGTTATAGTGACTATGACCATTTTCATAATGTCACAACACCATACAACGTTCCGGCTACCCTAAAATCAACTAAAAGAGATGTGATAATATGCGATGGTGTTATAGCCAGAAGCATCTTTGTTCGTTGCTGCACACTTATAATCTTCTCTTAGAAAACAGGATTTTTTTTCTGCATCATTCACATTATTTGACCCTGTTTTAAAAGCTACTTGCTTTTTTGTAGTCCAGCTTCTATGGTTGGACCACTTTATTTGTGAATTTTAGCCAGGTTTTCTGCATCTCAGTCACCCTTTTTGTGAGTCAGCTTTTTGCGAGCACTTGGAAACTGGTAATAGACTTCCTTTCTTCTTCCTGTTTTGCCCCAGCAGGACGCATCTTATCTCAAGCAGATATTTTTACAAATAAAACATAATGGTGGCTGACGTAGACTTGATTATCTGGGCTTGAGGAGAGTGAAATTCGTGAGTGGGGCCATAGCGCGGCTTACTTAGTACTCTACCCGTTGCTGCCCGTGGCATCAGCGGGCGTCTATCTGGAGAACACCGGAGTAAACTGCAGTCGGTTCGTGCGCCGTGCGTTTTTGAACGGCTGCAAGAAAGGTACACACGGCAAACGTGTGTTTACATTTCCTTATTTTAACCGAAGTTCTAATTAATTGTTGTTATGAGTGTCTTTATTTTTCTTTTATTACTTATATTTGTATACTGGAAACTTTTTTTTTATTCCCCAACATCTCAACCGGGGCTCAAACTGTACAGACCCAAAGGAACAAGAATATGAAGCCAAACCTTATTTATTATTTAATTATCACCTGAATGTTACAACTATGTTTTGCTATGTCTGGCAATAAATGTCGGTATAGTAAGATGGACATAAATCAATTCTTGTTCTAGTTTTGGGTAGATGTATTATGACTTCCACAGCTTCGCGATTTAGAAAGTGGAGAATTTTAGTAGATCGGTGCGATGACTCCGATAACGATATCCGATACTTCGCCGCCTTCTTAGCGCATGCATCTTATCGTTACCGGGTACCGTTATCGCGGGTATCGGAGGTATCGCAACGATCTACTAAATCTCTCGAATAGCAGGCAACGGCTGCAAAGACAAGTCTTTGCTCTACATTCGAGGTAAATAACACTGCCATTGCTTCGCTGAAAAACCTCAATGCGCAGCATGAAGCCTTCGGGGGGAACAACATGGCATTCCCATCCAGCGCCTCAGTTCAAATGGTGTTCAGCGTAGCAGTCGACATATTGAGTAAGAAATAACGCCAAATGTCTGACGACACTTTCGAGAGTCAGCTGTTGCTCAAAATACTCAAGGTCATGAAATGGAACAGGTGGCAATATTAAGAACTTGAATAACCCTCTTCCCTTTGTTTCTTACTTGAGGACAATAATGTTAAAAGTAACGACACGAAAGTAACGGATTACTTTTTGGGGTAACGGCCAGTTACTTTTATGGGAGGGTAATTGTAATTGTAATAAATTACAATTTAGCCTTGAGTAATTGTAAATGTAATTCCTTACTATTTTTCAGTAACGTGTACAAGTCTGACCACAACCACCTATAAAATTGAGAGTCCTGTTTTATTAAAGGTGTTTATGATGCTGTGTGTTATAGTAGGTCGATTTATCATTGAACTATATGCGTATTCTTATGGACCGTGTGCTTGAATAGTGTGTCCATGTTATATCCTGTTTAAATGCTTATGCGTGCATGCGTCGATTTGTTGTTTTATTTTTGTATTTGCTCAAAATGATCTGTCACTAGCTGTTGGCTATGTATTCTGTTCAGTGTATGTATCTTTGTTTGTATTGTTTTTTCTGAGAAATAAAAATACTGCAATACAAGACGTTGTATCATTGCGGCAGGCTAGTGCAGATTTTGACACTTTCGAGTATTGATTCGAATGACGCACTTTCCAATTCGTCCTTTGTCTCAAACTCTGGCAGCGCTCGGTAGTTTCGCACTACTACTTATTGTTCCATGCCTATTATAGACAACTGCAAGCATGGCGCTCCGACTGGTGCCCCATGAGTGCAAGCACGTGAAGTTTGCGCGTGAGCGTAGCTTTGGCAAGCTTGAAATTGCACAGGCTTGTCCGCACCAGCAGAGAAATGGCGGCGGCCAGTGGCCTTGCCTGCAATCGTCTATACTAGCGGACAGCTTTCTGAGGCTATGCACTCAAACCTGTGGGTGCATGGGCGTTCGCGCACCTTGAACTCCGATCGAAGCCGTGCACGCGCTCTTCACTTCTAAGATGCCGCATAAAATTGTCCGCTCTCTTGGGCGGGCTTCTCACCCAGACACTGGCGTACAGCGGAGAAGAGACATCCGCGAATGGGCGCGGTGATCTTGCGTAATTTGCTTTGCTGCAGCGCAGCCGTGTGCTCAGTGGAAAAGCTCTCTTTCGAAGCGGGATGAGGCGCGCATCTGCTAAATGCCATCGAATTTATATATATATATATATATATATATATATATATATATATATATATATTGTGAGGGTGTTTTTGGTCGCTTCAAGAAGAAGACAAATGCCGGTTGTTTCCTGGTCGAGATCTATATCAGCACGCGCTATCCGAATCTCGTGTCCCAGCCCCAGCAGCGCGCAGTCCCGCGCACTGACGCCACAATATATATAAGAAAATCTTGGTAAATGTATGTGGCAACTCTACCTTGCAAAAGGTAGAACTGTGGCAATTAGAGTACGATGACCTGGAGAGCTCCATACGTCATTGGTCGTGAATTTTGTTTGAATTCAATATTTAAGGCGACTGGATGCATTCGGCTGGAGCAACGATTGTATGTTGCCACAGGCTTAGGCGCTGACTACATTTGTTGACGTTCGTAGTCGGCGCTGTGTCTGCGTATTATTTCTTTCAATTTGTCCCTCTGTCTTTTCCCGCTATATTTTTTCTTGTATGTTGTCTACCTGTACAGCAAGGTTCCTTTTATGCCAAATCCCTCGTCTGCTTTGCATCTCTACGTAGGCGTTCGACTGTTCGAGGATCTAATCAGTTAATAAATAGTATTAACTAAAGTATTTTCGCTTTAGCAGCGGACAAATGGAAGTTTGTGAACGACTTCAACGAGTTGTTTCCAAGCTTCGAGGAGAGACTAAAATAAATAGTTGGCATTTAGCCTTGAAATCACACCACGACAAAGAAGCGTCTGCGTCAGTGGCATTGTGTATGAGTATTCTTGGAATACGCTAATGGTGATGTATACAACCCCCCCCCCCCCCCCCCCCCCAAACCGAAACACACTCTTAAGTCTTAACACACTCCCAAAATAAAGCTCAACACCTCCCTAGAATTTCCTACATAAAGTATACAAAAATATAGTTTCACTCTCTCCCCCCGCCCCCCTCCCCAGATTGACATTCCGGGATAAGCCCCTGCACGCTAATGCCAATATGCTCATGTAAAAAAAAAAACATAATAATAATAAAAACCATTCTAGGTTAATATTGCTCCGCGGCCCCTTTTGACAGAGCTTAACATCTATTTGAGATACTGGGTAAAATAAAAATGCCTGACGTACAACGGATGCTAATGAGTGATTTCCAAGGAGTAGAAAATATAGGAAAGCAGGGTCGTCTACTTCGACAAGCCTAGATATTTTTTTTTTTACGTATAGTAATTAGAGTGTAACAAACTAAAACTAGATATAAAATTGAGATAAAAAAAGGTATTCTTTGGTGTTTTAAAACAGACTTTTGAGCGCTCCAAAGTGCGTTTCAAAAGAACTCCAACTAATCATGATGCTAACATCATCGTCGTGCAGACGTCAAAAGTTAAACGCGGTATTATTTTTTTCTTAGTTTTTGGCTTATTAGTTTTGTTATTCACTGTTCCCTTGCAATATATATGGCGACACTTTCACAGCTGTGCCCTGGAATAACCGAGAAACTCCTAACCCCTCCTTTAATTTGATTTGTTTCTCGACAAAGATAGAGTTTGCAACAACTCGCCCGCCCCGAGAAAGAAATGTGAAAACATTTCTCGAAAGTTCATGACGTAAAGCTGCTTTATGAGCGGATATTATGTAAACAAAGTTGGGCTTTTCCCACAGGTGGCTGTACGGTTTCTGTGGGAGAACAGGACCCTCAAGGGCGCCATCGACTATCCGCGGCTACACGTGGACGTGAAGAGTGGCAGCATCCAGTACGAGCACCGCATGGTACCGGTACGCTACGGAGTCATATCTTTGTGCGTTGCACTCGCGCGTGTAACAAACACACATGGCACACATGGGCGTGACACAGATTCGGACACGCAGAATTAACGCGCGTACGCAAAGTCACGTATAATTCGCGTCGTTGCGAGATGGTTAGAAGACCGAGCAAATGTCGGAAAGGCAGTAATCGCTCAGTCCCCTTCTGCGACTGGCGACTGAGCCAAAAACTGTGGTTGCGCGAAAACCGGCCAAACCGGGCGATTGCGTTGCGACGCTATGTTTAGGAGGCACTCCAAACGAATGTGTCATTACACGAAGCAATGTAATGGAACTAAAAATGACGAGTCTTGCAAAACGTTCTGCATTGACAGTATGATCTAAGACAGAAATGGCCTTGCGCGTGCACTGCCGATAATTGCAAATCGGGAAGTCCATTAAACAGCCAGGAGAACTACGAGAAAGGAGCATACTGTTCTCTTTTCCCAACAAAGTCATTAAATAGTGAATGTAGCCGTCACATAATTTACGAACCGTACTAAGTCGTAAAAGTCGGAGCACACAACCCGGGCAGACTGGCTGTCCGCAAAGGCAGAATAGGTTCGACGATCAACGAAATGCACTAGCCAAGTGAACGAAAATCCAACGGTGAGCTTGCTACGTGGTTTTTACACCATGGTTTCCCGTGCGCCTGCTCGCTGACGCTGGTCAGTGCGCTAAAATTAGTTTATTTTGCTACAAATACGAAGCGGTCAGGGAAAGAGCACATCACAGGTGACGGGGATGTCGACGTGCGTTTAAGAACATCAGCACGTTGACTTTTAAAAGTTGCGAAGCAAAAAAAAAAACAATTCCTATTGTAACGCAATTACTTTTTTTCGTTAAACCGGCACGATGCACGAACAAGCCAACCACAACCATGCGGTAACAGGAAGACCAGGGCCGACAGTCCATGCCACTGTACCCGCAGCCGTCCCCGCTCCTCTGGTTCTTCGTTCGTCCGCGAGAGGGCGAGAGGCGGGCTGCAGTTGCGAAAAGAGCGACTCAACGTGCACGTGTCTTAAGGCACTTCATGTTTTATTGGGACAATTTGAACAGTTTTTCAGAGCGTAATCCCCTTAGGGCCATAACCTTAATTCGAGCTCTCTCTGCCCGGAGATTTCTAACACACTGCTGTAATGACCGCGCCGTTCTTCTCGTGCTCCGAATTGGGGTAGGGGCGCGGATATATTGTTCTCTAGGAGAATACCGTTCCTAGTCGATCGACAAGTGTGAGCGCGGTTCAAATTTTGAACACTTTGTACATCTATGCGATATATAATTTATGAAGAAAAGGAACCCAGTGTGATGCATGTGTCATTATCTTCTCTTCTTTTTTTTCCCATGTTCTTACAGAGGATCATGTACAAGATGGCGCAGAAAGGTCACACTCTGGATGGAGATCCTGAGGAGATGAGTTTCGGAGACCGGTACTCCTGCGTGTGCGGCATCGCCATGAAGCACGGCGTGCTCTACACCAACGCCGACTTCCGCGCCCACACCGGAGGCTTCGACGGAGATTAGGGCTTGGCCACCGACGCCAGCTATACGCCTAGTACCGTAGCGTGTAATATTAACTGGAGCTACTTGATGCTATACATGAAAATGCATCTTTGTTTGGCTTGCATGTGTACATGGATACGTATATTATACCATTTGCACGTCACCGATATCATGACGCAACGATGGGCCCGTCAACAGCTACCAGTACCAAATGCGAAGAAATTATTTTTGTGTACTTCTTGACGTCAGATCATACCATGGTCGTATTTGATTTTATGATTAAAATATGTAAAACAAATATTCAAGCTATAAAAAAATTATAATGCCGATTGCACGTCCTTTTTGTTATATTGTAATTAAGTGCGAACTAGTAAAAAGGCGACTTGCCAGCGCGTATACTATATACGCGGTCGCCGTAGCTGTGGTATCGTATCCCCGCTATTCGCGAGGATTACTACCATGGGTCCATTGATTAAGAAATAAAGTTTCCTCACCGCTGTCAGAAACTCGGATGAGACTGCATAGGCCTTATTTTCATAATACGTCGAGCTAGGGCTGTTGATGCCCTCTACACACTCGATCAAAGTTGTCGTTCTCTAACGAGAGTATGTCACCGAAATTCCGAGCATTTCAAGAGATCATGGTTGCTGCGTCATAAACACTGACAACAATAAGCGCAACCACGCCACTTGACTTTGGATTAATCAAAAGAAACTTTTGCTCGATATCACTTCCCTTGTTGATTTCCCACGTTAGCTCCGCGTAAGTTTGCATGTGGATGGAACTTTAAACCAGGAAACGACGGCTGAACCTCGAGAGGAGCATGCATGACTGGTAAAAGTCGCTGGCAACAGCTGTGCGTGACCATGTCCATATGAGCATCGGCTGGCTCACCTTTAGGCACCTCTGGTGGCATGAAAAAACCTAGGTCTGGGCAAGCACGTGCAGCATACACTCTCAAGAAAAAAGGGTGTAAAAGGGTGTATCGTTACACCCTTTGTCCCATATAATACACCCCAAAACTTCATCTCTACGTACTGAGCCCTATAGTCGAACCGACGACCCCAGAGTTTACGAGGGGCTTGATAACAGTGCAATAAAACTTTTTAAATAGCTAAAGTTCTTATCAAAGACCACAGCAAGAAAACACCGAGTTTTTGCAGTAGGGCCGAGAAAACCCCGATTTGTTTTTTTGTCAGTAAAACGTACATTAGCTATTTAAATAAGTTGTACCACACGGCTATCAAGCCCCTCGTAAAATTTGGGCCGTCTGTTCGACTGTAGGGCGCTGTACGTCGAATTGAAATTCTGGGGTGTATTATATGGGACAAAGGGTGTAACGATACACACTTTTACACCCTTTTTTCTTGAGAGTGTACTCGCGACAATATATCGGCAAGCTTTCAATCAAGCGATTTCCCACACGAGGACATAATCAGAGCGCCGTTTGCCATGTGTGGGATCCATGACAATTTTAACAAATCCTCATGAACTAGCAGCAAAGACGGCAGGCACGAGTGGGCAGCTTTGAATGGTACCCCCACTGCACGAGCGCTCGTGCATGCAAGAAGAACCGATCAAACCTAAGGAGTTCGCCCTTACAGCCTTACCAATTATCTAAAAAAGGTGTTCTTTTTTTTTTTTCTTATAGCGGGTTTTGGGCATTTGTTAATGCTTAAAAAGAATTTGTACTCAAACATTTTCAGAACGCTTTTTTTTTTTTTTTTTTACGCGCTTAGACGGTGAGATTGCCCGTTCACTTTCACCGGGTCTGTCCGAACGACCTAATTCGAACGTGCCGCTTGAGTTCACGCGGCGCCTTTCCAGCGTCCCCCGAACGCAACGGACGAACAAACAGAGCGCAGTCCACCTCATCCCGAGGAAAAGAGCCAGCGAAAGCGACGGCGAGTGACAGCCTCCGACTGGAGCGTCGATACCGCTCGTGAACGTCCGCCGGTCACGGCTAGCCGGGCGGTCACGGATAGTCGGAGACACCGCCGCTGTATAAGCTGGCCACGGCATGGGACACGCGTAGATGGTGGTGGGCACTGGGAGTCTCGGCACACTCGCGTTCCTGGGCGCCAACTAGCTCGGGAAACCATGTCGCTCACGGTACGTATGGTTCGAATCTTGACCGGGATCTTATTTCCCGTATACTTTACGATTTCCTGTAGCCGGCAAAGCGTCTGCGAAGCGACAAGGTGGCAAATTGCAATCAACACAATGTGGCCGTCAGAGCGGCTTTGCGATAGCCCAGATTGACGCCGATCGGATAGATTAGCACTCTGAACAATAACAAAAACTAATCGAGACTAGCAGGAAGAACGTGGAAAGGATCATATAGTGGCAACCTATGTTTCGGTAATAGTAAGAATTCAGTTCAAGCTTTGCTAGGCACACGCTCGTTGCCTTTAGCGAAGCTTTGGCTGGGCGTGCGACGAAGTGCTATTAAAGTGAAGCTCGCACTAGAGACGGAGCATCTACTGAATTCTTAACCTGTCACCGACTATGGTAATATCTATGCGGCTATGTAAATTCACAATGCCGTAGAAAGGCGGATAGCCCATACCAAGAGGCCCGTGGCACCGTTCCTAACGAAAATGATAATAGACTTTTAGTAGACCGTATTCCAGAGCGGGAGCCCATCGCCACTTTGAAGCATGGCTTGAGCACTCGCCCGTTGGGCCCGCTCTCCGCAGCGTACGGTCTACTAAAACTCTCTAAAGTGATGAGAGCATGGTACAGATGTACCGATAGTTAAGATTTGTTTAGTTATGTTCAGAATGACTGAGTTGCGTCCATATCACATGAGCGAATGACGTTTTAGCGAACAGCGACATTTGAGCGAATCGACGTTTCAGCGAATAACGGGGGCGCGCGTTAACCCATCCGCCGCGCTGCGCTTACGCCGCTTCGCGGCGACAGTCTGCGGCGGCTCATTACAAAAATGTGAACCCAATTTGCCCACCCGGAAACGCCGCTTTGCGGCGTCCGACTATACGCTAAAGTGTCATTCGGTGAAACGTGGGCGTAAGCTAAAACGTCATTCGATCAAGTGAGTGCCTCCCGTTCAATATCCACCACTGCCCGTTTCGATTAGGATGAGAATGGTAGCGACGTGCGGTCGTGTAGCATGACCGCGTGATGCACGTTAAAGAACCGAGGCTTTAGCTGTGGTGCCGCACTGGCTAAATCTCTCATCTAAAGCGAAAATAGCATGCATGACGCACATTGACTGACCAACTTGCCACTGTCTAAACATGCACACAACACAATTACTTCACTGCTACTCCGAGGATTCCAGGAAGTTCCACTGTCGCGATAAAATGACGACGTTAGCTGCTGACAGTTCAGATCACCCAGCAAAGCTTCCTCGCTCTCGACTAGTGTCAAATTAGGACTATTCCCGCGACCTCGGTGTAGCTGGGAGCAAAACTACGTCACGTATACGGAACACATACCCACTTCCGTCAACACTCAACGGTTTTAAGAGCCGGGGGAGGACTCTTCGACTCCTTTGTGGTCAAACTGCGTGGTTGCGTCGTCGAGTTCCCCCAGCGCGCGGCCTCAAAAAAATGCTCATCGTGCGGCGCGATGCGTGTTTGCAAATACCGCGGATAACGGTGTCCCGCCGCGTCTGACAACAATGATGGGCAGCTCGAAGTACCCGCGGCGCATTTCCGGATATTGAAAAATTTGGAAACGATTACCTGTCCCGCTGCTCTTCGCGGGGGAACGGTGACGCTTCGACAAAGAGCGGTGTCCGTAAGCGTTTGGGCAATTGCGAAGTCATTTAAACGAAATGGGGTTCCTCTTTTAGTCACATCTGATATTGTCACAGCTGCTATACAAAAATTCAAATACTTTTTGGGGAGCCATGATCTCATTCACGTTGTTTTGTTTTTCACAGAAGTTTCAATACCCTCCCATGCTCGTATCCTCCGCGTACGGGGTTTGTCTGTTATTACGAAGTATAGATTCAGAAGTCGAACCTACTGAATCTAAGTTCTACTTCTCCATAGATATTCCTCCCTTTAAAAAAAAAGATCTAATACCTGCGTTTGTTAATGACATAATGACATATTGACAGTGTATATAAAACCCGTACATTTTATTTACCTCACTCAAACTTTTAATATAATTTGAAATTTAAAAAAAAAGATAAAGATTCATGTGACCTGTGTGCTATACAGACTGAACGTAATTTAACTTTGCAGTATGAATCGTTTCAATTTCTCCAAAGTAAATCCTTCCGAATTAACTATTTCGGTAGTTCCTTTCTGGGATCAAGTAGGTTGATCTCACCAGCCAGTTTGGCTACGCCGTCGCTGCCACAAGGCATCGAGGGGACTTAAAAGCCCCTACACACATGTGAGTGCGTTTGACTGCATTTCGGACCCTGCGAGAAACCAGGACATCCCTGCTTCTTATGTCGCGTGGGAAGCTGCTCCTTGAATTAATTTCCACGCTTCATACAAAGCACTAATGAGCCGGTGACTCGCTTTCGTTTCTCCACACAACGCAGTCAAACGCTCTCAAACGCAACAAACGCAACTGTGCGTAGGGGCCTTTAGTCTCTGCACGTGCCCCAACCTCGCTGGAGCTCTGCGCGTGCCAAGCAAAAGAAACACGAGTAGTCTCGGCAGGTTATGCGTCTCGGGCACTATTCTCCGTTCACCTTTAAAGAGGCCATAAAACGATTTTTCTACTTTCGCTAAATACTAGTCACAATCACTCCCTAATGTTAATAACCGAATAAACTTGCCTTAGTTTTTTTCTTTCTAAGCAATGACACTCGGCAAATAAATTCGAGAAATATGAGGATCGTTCATCCCTCTCCACTCGGAGCCAGAACAAGCGGCCAAGTGGCCTGGTTGGTGCCTATCTTATGCCACCAACGTTAGTCATAGCCACGCGCTGGGGTTCACAAAGTAGAAAACGCGTGCTGAGCTCCAGGCATTGTTAGAGTTCGGCTACTCTGATCACCGCTGTGGTTGGACATGAGCCACTACCCGAGTGTCCGCCGGGGCATTGGTTGTTATGAGCCGAAGTCGAGTGCTCACGCAGTTCTCGTGTCCAATCCATGAGCAGCGCTCGACTGTCGTCAGGCGGGTGGTTCCGATCCCACAATTACGTCATAAAGCTTTGGGAAGGCAAGAATGAAAGAAATAGTCCCCTCTTATCCTCGCAATTGCACCGCGACCAAGAAGCTTCTGAATCAGTGGAG